ATTGGATCTTTAGTCCATTTATCCAGTATTTTATTTGAAAGCAAATTGATGCTATCAGTGTCCCTGATACACATAAAAAATTTAGAAAACCTCTTTACAATCTCTTTAACAAGAACCACAGACGTCTGATTGAAAATTAGAATGATGTAAATTGATGCTATCAGTGTCCCTGATACACATAAAAAATTTAGAAAAACTCTTAACAATCCCTTTAATGCTATTCGCTTCATCAAAGACATTTCTAAGTTTTTATGTGTATCAGGGACACTGATAGCATCAATTTACACCATTCTAATTGTCAATCAGACGTCTGTGGTTCCTGTAATTTGAAATATAGAAAATCTCATTACAAACCCCTTTATTACTAGAAGTATAGAAAGATGTTGTGAATAATAGAAATGATGATATTGGGTCTGTTGACTTGATATTGATATTAGATATTATTAATAGTAATATTGCCATTGGTCATAACTTTATTTATTTACATTGCCATGGTGACGGAGAAATTTAAAAATTTTCTATTATAACTGTTGATAGGAAACATAATCCATAACCTCATTAGACTTAAAGGGAGAGGTTCATGATCCGTTTGACCAATCATACTTTAGTCTCAGAAACAGGAATTTTTTAGCCTAGCCTATCAGTAATAGCGTTCACATCTCACTGTCCAAATTTGAGCCTTCAAATCCATGTGTGTCTAGAATTATCTACGTTTGAAAGTTAAAATGACAACGCTGCCATATATAGAAATAGAAAGTGAAATTTCTAGTTTGTGATATTTTTAAAGGAATTATGTGATTTTCGTACATTTCTAGTATTTCTGAAGACTATTTACATATATTCAAGACTCAAATAAACATCCCAAAATGGCTAAAAAATTTAGAAAACCTCTTTACAATCTCTTTAAAACAACAATTCGCTTGGTCAAAGATGGTAAAATTTGATAATTAAGGTGTTTTTAATTCAATTATTAATTAGGGAGAAATAATCGTTAAATTGTTCAGGTATTGAGTTTCTTAACGACAAAAAATGTTTGATTTTCGATGGTCAATTAATTAACCAAAATCAGAGAATTAAAGGAACAGATTTCGCAATTTGATTGGTTGATTTGACATATATTTAAGACTCAAATCAACTCCCCAAAATGCAGCACCTATCCCTTTAAAGATTTGATTGAGTTATAATGATGAGATATTCCCAGGAGTGAGAGAGTTATCACTGTATAATTGGTCTCTCATGTATATTTGATAACTAGCAGCTATTAAGTGATTGTCTTCATTTTTACTTCTCATAATCAGTCTTTAAATGACATTTAGCAATTGTGAGTACGATATATAGACACAGCTTTATAGAACAACAATCACTGGTTAAAATTTTATACAACGTTTTTCGAGGATGGGGGAAACAGT